ATAATGTTCATGCAGGTCTAAATTCTGTAGGTTTGTAGATATGTGAATAGTGATTTAAAATTGCACAATAAACACGCTTCGGCCTTAAATATAAAGTACTCAAGTTGAGTTCCGCCTATCCTGCTGCGTTCGAAATGGACTTTGCTGAATTGTTATATCAGTTCCAACTTCGAGATTATTGCCGGTCAAACCCAAGATCATAAATAAGTTGAAAAATAAGACTTGAGTAGTTTCATCAGCAAGTATCATTTCAAAGGCAGTTCATAACGTAGTCTAGGCTTAGAAGAATTCTAGCAGACCGTGAATTTGATGAGAAAGTTGTTATGTGAAAAATGTAATGCTTTTGGAAAATTCCTTATTCGTAATTATGGCAAGACGAAATATTACGCTTTTCAAAATCTTGTCTGGCGTAACAAAATTCTAATATTAGTTTTCAGTTTCTCGAGCCTATGCACAATTTTGTGAAAACCAGTCAATTCGCTTTCTTTAATTTGAAATCATCTAAAATTTGGAAATTAAAATTAATTAGCTTACTAACTGCAGTTGGATTAGTAAGAGTAAGTATTAACTGAAGCTTCAACGTTCTCATTTGTCATTTAGCTCTGTGCTTTTTTATTTAGCATTGCTCTGATGAATTTTGCATTTTGCTATGCATAATTTGCTATAATAATATATGGAGTCGTAAAAGTTAAATCTTCCAAAGCATTACAGAAATAAGAAAAATGTGGTGAAAGAACCTTGAGAAAAACTCTAAGATTATCAAAACCTCTAGATCAGTTATACAAAACATTATTATTATTATACATCTCATAAAATCTCGTTCAGTAATCCTTTAAGAAACCCAATCGTAATTCTTCACCCTGTAGTTTCGCGTAAACCGCGACTCAGGCTCAACCGATTTTTCTTTAGGCCAAAATTCTGGCTTATGTTAATTTCGAACAAGAGCAGACGATCTTTAAATTAATTAAAGGTTTGGTGGTAGCTATTAGTTTTAGGGTATCCTGTGACGGATTCGCAGAATCATCTTTATATGGTCTACTACATTCGAGCTAGCGAAAACAAGAATTATTTTATGTCGGATGATCTTATGAGTGAGTGTTTAGATTGTGTACAATTTTTCGAATGGAGAAGACTTCAATTTTTTTCGCGTTTAAAGCTATTTGCAAGTCTTTTGAAAATTTTCTCAAAAGCAAAAAACACTTTTTAAAAGTAATGAAATTGAGAAGGCGAGTCGGAGACATTATCTCAAATCTCAACATAGACATGTCTTAATCCCTTATCTTTGCCTTGATTATGAGAAGATCATTTGCGACGAGCATTCGATGAGTCAGTGCAAAAACAATACTACTTTTTATTGCTGAAAATAGGTCAATGTCTGCGAGTACATGCGCATTAATTTACAATGCTAAAATTACCTTTTGTACCTCGTTTAAGGTAACTTAGGATTGGCAACGTTCAGTTCATTGGACCTCACTTTTCCATGGTAAACCAAAGTTAAATTACAACGTGACAAATTCAAATATTATTATGCATCTGGTGTGAATGTGAGTAATGAATATATTTATCTGGGAAAAATTGTGACCCTATAACGCTTATCGTCTGACTTCGAAATGATATGGATAGGCGTTGCTTACAAAATAAGAGCAACTCTTTGATGATTGGCGTTACATAGAAAATATCTTTTAATCAAATATATCCCATATCCCACTGACCATTTTTTGCATCCAGTGAAGTTCTACTTCACCTTACTTCATCATGTTAGTATCACATTGTTTATTATATTATTGATTTTGTAGAGGAATAAAACGGTAGAATTACATAGTTGTAGGGAATATGATTTTCAATGTTTCTTATATTTGAATGTGAACGTGTGGTTTACGCTAATTATTCCAAAGAAAAGTGCCAGCTAAATTAAGTGATACAAAAGTTCGTTCTGCCTACTTCTGTTAAATTTTAGAGTTCTGATTTTGTCTACCTCAAGTTGTTTGCAGTTGGTTAGCCGATCAGTTAAACATGTGGCTTGCTTATGTTTTCCTTAGAACAGTGTTCGTTTACATTTTTATTAGCAAATTACTCCTAATATACGCTGAAGCATGCGCTTATCAATGGAAATCACTTATTCTATTGTATTACTTACTTACGACATCGAGAATGAGGGAGAGTCATTATCTATTAATCCGCCCGATAAATTATAATTTGGGGTTTTTGGATGGGATGTCACTTCTCTCTTAATATTGCCTTAACAAGTTCCAAATTGTCGTCATCTATAAATTACTCCACTTTGAATTGACGTCAAACAATTAAAAGTGCAGATTCAATTCTTAGTTTTTTATAAATATAGTTCCTATTTAACACCTATTTTGGTTTACCGCACTTGGGGTGGCAAGGAATGAAAATTACGAACATTTTGAACTGTTGCTAGAATTATTTTCTGAATGTAATTTTGAATTGCTCTTTTGACAATGTGCTAAGATACACTCCAGTACCAGCTATGATATATGAGTGTTTGGTCAAATAGTCATTTAGTTTGGTCAAATAGTCACAATTTGCGCCAAAGCAAGGAACAAGTAGATATAAAAATATCCATCAATGTATTTAGGTAGTCAATTTTTTGGTGGGCATGATGAGCTCTTGCAGAAAACCTTAAAAATCAAAATGGGTAGGGTGTAAAAAATTTAGTTGAATTCAGTAGATTGAATCGACCGAGAGTGCAATCAATATACTATTTGTTATATCGTAATCAAGCACTATATTTAGGATTAATCGGCATTAAGTTTGGATGTAATTACTTTATCGGAATATTTATACTACTGGAATACTTTGCTGAATTAAAAATAGATTAGTAAAGCGAAATGTTAATACAACCTCATAGCAACAAGTCGGCACCCATTAATGTAATTTTCTAAATTTTTGCAGCATTAGTTTTGTTCGAAAATCTTATAGGGGTGAAAACCCTGCTTTGGTTGTCCCACCCTGTATATTATCGATATTCCCCCAAGTAAAAAGTTCACCAATTTTCCAGTATACTATTAAGGAAAAAATAACAAAGTTACTGTAAAAATGACCGACGTTTCGATCCTGTAGGTACTCGGCTCTTTCTCAAGGCTAGATACACAGATGAAATATAAACAAATATAAAATATTACAGTCTTGTGCAATCGGTTGCGGCGTTACACGAAACAACATTCAGCTATCAAACAAGCGATATAAAAACTGAACAATAAAAATTGCACATATAGAACCGAAGTTAAATCTGACTACAGAGATGCAAATGATTTGTTTAAGATTAAATCAGTTATCCTTACGATATTCTACCATAGGCACAGTTATTTTTTTTCTTGGAAAGCTAATAGAAAAGTGGAGAATTTGAACAAAAATACAGAATCAAGGTTCCAGTGTATTTAACAGTCTCCTCATTCTCAATGGCAAATAATTGTTTTTTAAGTAGCTTTTAAACAGTCTATCTAGTCGTAATCTAAAATATGCAAAAACACTATTTAAAACAATAATATGGTGTCGTCAGTGTCAAATTTGCCGACTGGCGGAATTTCTAAGGTCGAATCGGTAATCGCTAATATACAAGGTGATTGAAAATTGGCGTCACTCCTTTTAAGGAGTTATAGGGGCTCACTTGGATAGTACGAGAACATATTGAAACCATTTTTTTCGAAAATTTCTAGAAGATTTTAACAGTTGAAAATCGAATTTCCACTTTGTGATTAAGACATATTTTAAATTCTTAAGCATTCGAAATGAAAGATTGTCATTTTTACTTTAAATTATGAAAATATTTCAAATGAAAAAAGTACCTACTCGTCAACAATTGTTTGATGAGAATTCAATGCGGTAATGATGTTTTCTTGATACCCTGGTGGAAAGTACGTACTTTTGCCAGTGTTTCCGAAGACGAAAGCATTACCTTTACGCATCACAAATTTTCTTCATCCTGTGTGAAAAGTAATAACTTTCGATACTGTTCACAATATTTTCAAAGTCGGCTGGTTTCCACCGAGGATCAAGATACAGTAAAGTCCGCTTATAATGAACCCGGTTATAGTGAACTTTCGGTTAAAACGAACTTTTTTTCTTTAATTGAAACGTCGTCCATAAAAACCAAAGTATTTTTTTACTGGTTATAACGAACCCGTTTATAACAAACTTCCGGATATAACAATCACTTTTTAGATTAGTTGTATATTCACTTTCCGTTCATAACGAACTTCCACGCTCAGCAACACCAATCGTGCGGAGTTGTTTATATTAGTGAGAGCGAGAGGCAGGCAGTGACTTGTTTTTTGCCGCGTTATGTATGTAAATCGTTTTAGAATGGAAAAAAAACGCAAAGCTTTTTCACTAAATGAAAAGTACGAGATTATTAACAAAATAAAAAGTGGAGTAAAGCAGAGTGACATTTGTAAGGAATTAGCACTTGGAAAGTCTACTGTTGCAACAATATGGAAAAACAGAGAAAACATTTTATCAGCGTATGACAAAACAAATGTTAGATTTAGGAAGTTAAAATTATCTTCACATGAAAAGGTTGACAAGGGACTTATTAAGTGGTTTACTCAAAAAAGACAAGAAAACGTTCCCATAAGTGGCAGTGTTTTGCAAGAAAATGCTAGTGAAATGGGGAGTAAAATCAAAAACAAAGAGTTTGCTTCTTCTAAAAGTTGGGAAGAGCGTTTCAAGAAGAGGCATAATATCAGTAGCGGAAAAATTGTTGGAGAGTCTGCGGGTGAAAAATTCTTCTTATGAAAACGTTAGAGGCGATCGATAAAACTGAAACATTTTCTATAAATCTCTTAGATGCAGTCAATTTCATTCATAGAGCTTGGCACAAAGTTAGCCGAAAAACCATTGCAAATTGCTTTAAGCAACCAG